ACAAGAGAGGAGCTTGATAACTGAAAGCTCTGCCTCCCATTCTACTTTTAGAAACTCAAGGAACCACAAGTAAACCTGCAGTCTGAGAGCGAAGTGAAAWTTTTTTTTGTTACCAACAATTACAAGTTGTTTTCAAACATTAACAATTAAACAATGGTGACACGCTATGTCAGTAAAATAACCCCTGTATAAACAGATAGGGCAAACAATGAAATTAAAAACACCTGGTCGAAACAGAAAAGATAACATGCTTCTCTCTTTTGAAAAGAAACAACTAAAAGCTGTGMGAGTCGACAGTTGAGTCATTTTAGGGCAGTCAAAGTTAGGGCTAAGATCAGATGAGAAGTGCTGAGATACTCCAGACTCTAACGGGAGACTTTCTGTAACTGATCGAAGAATTTAGTTAGAAATAAAGGTGAGGATTATTTGCATTTTTCTTCTTCCTTTTTTTTTTTTTGTAAAAACCCACACACATGTATACCCAATAATAATTTAAAGATATGGAAACTGAAGAGCCATAAAATTAGAATCAAATCATTGAAAGATCACACATTCAAACAGCATTTTAAAAATCAAAACAGTAAATATTTGGTATAGTGAGCATCAGAATCCAAATTGAAGCACCTTTTTAAAAAAGTGTTGTTGATTGGATATTAAAGTGCCTGTGACATGCATAGCCATGAAATTCAAAAAGTCAAAGGAAATATATTTCTATTTAAGAAACTTGGCATAATACATGTTATTTTACCCTTTATATCACATAATTGGCACATTTTCTTTTGAATTTGGCTCAGCTAAAGGCTGAGTCACACTATAAGAATTTAAAACAGTCGGACGATTTTCAAAGAGAGAGCCCACACATGAGGATAAAAAAATCGTGGCTATACCAGGTTTGGTCCTACAGTGTGTGGTGTACAGTCACACGGCAAGAGACAACACACCACACAAAAAAATATTTCATTCATGAACATTCATATGTCAGATATTAAATCACACGAAAATTCATGTGTCCGAGGAAAAATCTCAAATGACCTCCAGAGAGACGTGAGTTCAGAGAAAATAAACATTTGTGATGAGGAAGAAACAATGTTGATCGTTTGTGGACTATTTTTACCAGTGGAAAAACAATTCCATAGGACTTTAACATCCAGCGGACTTTCTGGTGAGTTATGACAGCATTTTGTCTTCTGTATTTGGAATCCTGTCCGTGTTTACGTCGCCTCGCTTTCTGATTGGCTACATGTCTCATTCACAGGCTGAGAGCTCGGGTGAACACTACACACACTGTGATATCGRGCCAAAAAAATCAAACATTGAATATCCCCGATTTGAGGTCGGAGCGGTCCCGACGTCCTTCCGAGTTGACTAGATCACTCTTAACTCACCACCCACGGCAGGAATACACTCCTGATCAAAATCTTAAGACCAGTCAAAAAAGTGCAAGATTTTGCATTTTGCACTATTGGATCTTAAGAAGGTTCTAAGTAGAGCTTCCCAATGTTAAAAGAAGGAATCAGTGCAAGAGACAAGAACTTTTGAGCAGGGAATTGTCTGAAAACTGCATTTACACTCAAACATGATTTTTTTCTGATCAAAAATTTAAGACCATAGCTCAAAAAAAAAAAACCCCGAAAACCCCCCAAAACAGAAATCAAAGTGTCAAAAAAAGGACTCAGTAATGAGTAGCTCCACCATTCTTGTTGATGACTTCAAACAATTGTTTAGGCATGCTTGATGCCAGTGTTTCCAGGAGACTAGTGGGAACGTTGCTCCAAGTGTTGAAGATGGCTTCACGAAGGGMATCCACTGTCTGGAACTGATGTCCATTTTTGTTAACTTCCCTTGCCATCCATCCCCAAATGTTCTCAGTTGGGTTTAGATCCGGGGAACATGCAGGATGGTCCAAAAGAGTGATGTTATTCTCTTGGAAGAACTCCTTTGTCAGGCGGGCATTGTGAACTGCAGCATTGTCCTGTTGAAAAACCCAATCATTACCACACAGACGAGGGCCCTCAGTCATGAGGGATGCCCGCTGCAACATCTCCACATAGCCAGCTGTTGTTTGACGCCCCTGCACAACCTGAAGCTCCATTGTTCCATTGAAGGAAAACACACCCCAAATCATGATGGCGCCCCCACCACTGTGCCGTGTAGAAAACATCTCAGGTGGGATCTCCTTGTCATGCCAGTAACGTTGGAAGCCATCAGGACCATCAAGGTTAAATTTTTTCTCATCAGAGAAGACAACTTTCTTCCACCTTTCAATGTCCCATGTTTGGTGCACCCTTGCAAAGTCCAAACATGCAATTTTGTGGCGTTGAAGAAGACGTGGCCTTTTTTGTTTTTTGTTTCTGAAGCCCTTCTCTCGCAGATGCCGTCTGATGGTTATTGGGCTGCAGTCAGCTCCAGTAATGGCCTTAATTTGGGTAGAGGATCGTCCCGTGTCTTGACGGACAGCCAATTGGATCCTGCGCAGGGGTCGACATAACCATTGTTTAGGTTGTCCGAGACAACCTATTTTCGTTTCGGACAACCAGATCCCGCCTCCAAGTTGTCCGGTGGACAACCAAGAAAAAAGCAGCGGGTGTTCGTCATTGTAAAAATGAGTGGGAGGAAAAAAACTTGTTAAAGCCATCTAGGGATTAAACTGACGGTTCTTTCACCCAATAAAGAGAACCACAGTGATTTTTTCTGTTTCATGTTGGTGTGAAACCAGACAGAGGCAAATTCACAGACAAATTCTGTGATTTTTTTATACCATTATAAATCTTAAAGGCACGATAAAAAAAAAAGTTGTTCTACTTTTCCTGTGACAGGGATTATCATGATTTAACAAAYGCATAAACATTCTTAGTTAAATGATAAATGAATCACGAACAGGGGAGATTGTTCTGTCCATTATCTGATTAAGAGAACTGAGTGGTTCTCTTCCACGGTTAGAATGACCTGTCAATGGCCTAAATAGAGTTTAGTTTGTGACAGAGTTCCTGTCTCCTTCTCAGGCCCGTCTGAGGCCTGCTTAGAGGCAGAAAATCTTGTTTTTTCACTCGAGGTGACCCCTACACAGCATTGGATGGTGGTGTGCTGGATGAATATAGTGGAGGAAAAGAAACAGGAAAAAATTTGAGAAGACCACCAGATGGTGAAAGTAGTAGCCTGGTAAAAACCAGACCCTTGTCCTTCACTTTGTATGAGGGTCTGGACTCTCGGCTATAGAGAAGTGATTCTTGCTGGAGGCGTGGCCTCTGCTGAAGTTTAAAATGATTATGTCGGTTGGCCGTAACGTATGTGTACACCAGCTTCACTGTGAAGGAGGCTAAGCTAAGAAGCTAACCGGAAATCAGGTGCGCTGTAAACAACCCTACTAAGAGGAGAAAAGTACAGAGCCGAACAAGAAAACTGTAAATGAGAGCTGCTGCTTTGTCAGACAAATTTAATTTAATTTGGAAGYCTTATCAACACTGACTGGCTTCATTCACTTCCTCCACTACCATTGCTAAACTAACAAGCAGACACTGTGCAGAAAATTGAYGTTGTTCAAAACTCYGCCTTGTGTTTGCTGATTGGCCCAGGTAAAATAAACTACAAGCAGATACTGCCCAGAAAATTGACCTTCTGTTCTCTGTTTTGGCCCGGACGAAAATTTTCCCAAAGAAATCCTTGTCTATGGGAAAAATCCTAGACGGAGCAGTGAAGGGAAACTAGAACTGAGCGGAACTGCGTAGGAAGGCATGGGCCAGGCTACGAAGGTAGAGGAAGGATGAATGTTTTGAGGATTTCAGAGAGGAGCTGTTAAAGTGAAGAAAATCATCAGAGGTACAGCACAGATTAAAGGGAGATAAAGGTAGAGAGCAGACTGAGATGGTTTGGACATGTCCAGAGGAGGGACAGTGGGTATATTGTTAGGAGACTATATGGATACATATGGGTGTAGTTCGAGAGGGCACTGAGGTGGATGGAGTGAGGACAGTGAAGTGGAGGATGACTCTCTGTGGTGTTCCCTGAAGAACAACTAGGGACAAATATGTAATAATTTATTTGAATAATCTATGATGGTGTTTTGACTGATTCAGTCCAACTTTGACTTTCTACATTTTGTCTTCTAAACACTCCCCCTCCTTGTTTCTTCACTCCTGCAGATATCAACCTGAACTCTCCAAACAAAGGTGTTGGTGGGAACCGTTCTGACAGCCTCTCCGACGTGCCGGTGGAGGGAGCAGTAGGGAACTCTCCTCATCCTCCCCCGCTTGGGCTGACGGAGGAAGAAGCTGAGGAGCTCCGCACTGAACTAGCTAAGGTGGGTCACCTCTAGGCATGGGCTGGTTACCGCTTTCACAGTGTACCGTGATATGGAAAAAGTCACTGTTTCAAAACCATACATTATAATACCATATGTAGGTTAAAATCACGAATATGATTTTAATAAAGAGTATCCCTCCTCGGTTCAAGATGGTATCTGTTAAACAAAAACAACTCAATCACCACAGTGCACAGAAAACACACAAAGTCGTTCCGGTTTATTTTGGCCAGTTAAAATTAACTGACTTTTATTAAAGAGAGTAATATTGAGTGATTAATATGTGGTTACAATGATCAAACAATAAATGGGCTCTCACTACAACACTGTTGGTTTCTACTTTTAAGCAATTTTTCTAACAGTATTAACTAGGCCATGCTGCAGGACAGCAACCCTGTCTGAAGGAATTTATTACCCACATTCAGCCTTCCTCCTCAAAGTGTCCGGTTGCTCCGCTCCTAAAACTGGGTTGTTGTAGCTGGTTTAAGAGATTAATAACAAGCTTTTCTTTTTACATAACATTTTCAAAAATGGCACTTGGAACCAGGTTTGGTTTGAAAACAGGATTTGAGTAGTTGACTTAAATCTGTTGTGTTTAATGTTTGCATGTGAGACAGTTTTGTATCACACAGTTGGTTTTGCAGAATTTATTAAGAGAGAGTTAATCTTAGCCTCTGAGCTGTTTGTGTTCATGATATTCAATGAGAGCCTGAACCAAAGAAGCAATATGAGTGTGCTGGACCTGCTAAATGTGAGCATTTCACTCTGCATACCTGGGATTCCAGTTCACAGGGTGTGTCTCTCAACAACATTTACTGAAATCTCTCAAACTAAGGAGTTTTATCAGTAAGGTTTCTATTTCTGCATTGTTGTTTGAAATGACTGTACACGTGTGTATGTAATGCACAGAAATAGATGGTCCATTCATTGATTAAATGAATTGGAAAGTGCTGACAGYGATGCTTAGCTCCCTCTAATCAGACTTTTCTACTGACCAAAACCATCTCTGAGAGAACTCACTCCTCTTCCACCTGTTGAACAGTCTAGGCCAGGCTATTCAGCTAAATTGCTCCAGGGGCCACAGTTAAGGTGGGCCAATGGCTGAAGGGCCGAATGTCCAGCAATTAAAATCATTATGTAATAAAACCAAGTATTACAAAAATCTGTTACCTTTTGAAATGGTTTTTTTTGCTGCATATAATCATGAATACAACATACATAACATACAGAACCCTATGTAATAAAAGTAGTGATAATAAAACAACAAAAACAAGAAAAACACGTTATGCCTCCTATTTACCACAAATAATATTTTGACATCTCTGACTTGCCAAATTTTTAAACCCATTTTATTTTAACTTTCATAGTTTTATATTCAACTGCTTGTAGTTTTAACTGTCTTGGGTGTTCATTGAAATGTTTTTTTTACCAGCTTCTAGCCAAGATTCTGACATTTCTGTAGATACCACACATTTCTATGTTTAACTAAAAGAACTTAGAGTAATTAAAGTAGAAAACMGGGGGTTTGGGCTTAAGAGATGAATGAACCAATTGGCATGCCGAACTTTGGTCACTCGCGTGCCGGCAGTTGAATAGCCCTGGTCTAGGCTGTCAACAAGCACCAAATTACCATGATATCTGCAATCTTACCAGATGAGTAGAATTTAATTTTTTTAAAACTTAGCCTGAATAGAATGAGATAGGTAGGCTGAGAATCCAATGAGAAGTCACTCAGAGGCCCCAGGAATATGCAGGCCGATTTTTAGAGCCTTTTGTCTCCAGGTTAGGCTTGTGCAAAATCATACAGTAATGCCCCTTGATCTGTCAAATAACACCAGTCCTTCSACCAACAACATCACTGACTTCCCGTTAAATATCACATCAATTTACAAGATCCTGCTTCTTTCATTTAAGCCATTAACAACCTCCTCACTTCTGCTTACACTCCCACCATGCTTAGATCCTCCACTTTCTCCCAACTCATCACTCCCTCTGCTCGCCTGACCACCATGAGGTTCAAGAGCCTTCAGCCACTCGGCCCACCATCTTTGGAACTTTCTGCCTCAGGACTTTAGAAATTGTTTCCATGACCATCTTCATATCCCAGCTTAAAATTCATCTGTTACTCTGCAGCTACCACTAATAACCCATTAATCTGACATTATCTCCCATGACTGGTTATTTATTGTTGTTGCTTATTTCTTTGCAATATTTTATTCTGTTTATTGATTTTATTGTTTTTATTATGTTAACTGTTCTGTTGTAATTTTATTAATGACCTCCCTAAAGTGACCTTGGGAGTTTTGAAAGGTGCCTTTAAATAAAATGCATAATTATTATTATCRCCACCATAAAGTCTGTAGGAGGCAGAAAAAWTGAATATAGTCTGTCCTGGTGCTGCAAAGATATTTTTATATTCTGTTTTGTCAGATTTTTCAACTTAAGTTTTCTGTATTTTCTATGATGTTTTCTGAACTATTACATCAAATTATTTGTGAYAGAACCTCTAAATAGGGCTGGGCGATATGGCCCAAAAAAAAAAAAACTCATTCTTTTCATCCCAAATTAGATTTTCGATTTTAATTGATTTTGCTTCCCACTTAATGGAGTGCCTCTGTTTCAGGTGTCGAAAAAAAATTGTTGTACTCCTGCTTTTTGTAGCAAGAGCCTTCAAACAGATTTTGCAGTAAGGTGTTTGTTATTCCAAGTCCGAAGTTGCAAAACCTAACCAGTTCCAGATAACTGTAGAAACAGTGCCTTTTTTGAGAAGTAGATCCTCTTTGCTGCCATATAGTCATGTCATGTACCAAGCATGTTGAGGGACAGGTGGGGTGACCTCTGAACTACAGAAGCCCCAAAGAGTGCATTGGTGGGGGGAAAAAAATCTTGATTTTTCCCAAAATTAAATCTTTATAAATGGCAAATTCAAATTAATCAATTAAATCGATTTATTGCCCAACCCTACCTCTGAATAAGGCCTGGACTTACCAAATAGTTTGATGGGGTGCTTTGCCCAAGGACACAACAACTGAGACAGCTGGATGGGGGGATTGAACCGGCGACCTTCTGGTTCCAGGATGTTCACTTAAACTTTCAGAAAGTAATACTTGGATGTTCACCTAAAACTGATAAAAATTCTGGAACCAACTCAGCTGAAGATGGCTGCCACWGCTAATTAACTTTGGGAGTTTTTGGGAGTTTTTTGTTTYCTGAAATAATCACATCTATTTGACTTTGGAGAATCTAGAAAAYGGTTGACATTTGGAGTTTTGGATGYAAAGAGTTCAAACCTCTGTTGATGGGTTTCAGGTGGAGGAGGAAATCAACACCCTGCGTCAGGTGCTGTCAGCCAAAGAGAGACACTCTGCAGACCTGAAAAGGAAACTAGGCCTCAATCCTCTCAATGAACTGAAGCAAAATCTCTCCAAGAGCTGGCAAGATGTCCAAACTTCTAATGCGTACGTATATGTTGGTTGTTTTTTTCTAAACTAAGGTTTGTAAATTTCCTCTCTCCACACCTATGTCTTTTTTATTTGTTTCCATCCTAGAATCTGTTTTGATGGTGTTCTTTTTTATTATAAATTATAAACAGTTTTCATACAGATTAAATTCTTTCACTGAGCATGTAGCAACCAGGCTTATAAAATGWTAATAACTTGTGTGCTCAGACTGAAAACAGCTCAGGGCTGTTTATCTGCACATGTTTCACATACTCATGAGGAAATTCATGCTTTCCAAGATGTTAAAGTCTGAACAGTTCAGCAGCATTACGTTGTACAGCTGGTACAATAMACAAGTATTATAGTGCTTTTGTTGCTGTCATTAATGTGTTTGTCACAGTAAACTGTCAGATTTCATTATATGTAAATGCACCCATGGGAGCCAAATTATATTATAAAATAAGGAACTTAGTATGGTTGTTATTACAACCTGTACACCATTAATGTGTTGTACACAGTTTTATAATTTAATAATATCTCTGTCAGAATCCAGCAAGTCCATTCATACTCAGCTAGGGTTGAACAACCGGACGAATCTGTAGACCACCTGGATTGGAGTCTATTAGTCAGWTTCTTTTTTACAGACTTATTTTCTGTTTTATTTTTTAATTCTCCTTTTCAAGTGTTTTTGCTTGAAAAAAAAAAAAAGCCTAAATTTAACCTAAACTGGAAGATGTCATGACCACTTGGGAATATGTTCACTCCACTTCCAACAGCAAAGTGTTTTAATGTGTTTCTAGTTATGTATTTGGGTGAGACTGCAAAGTACTGGACAGAGACTCCGTTACAAAGGCAAAATAAAAGAGGACATAATGAGTATATTTGCCAAACAAAAAAAAGTGCCATTTGTTGTGGCAGCAGCTTGAGGTTTAATATCAATCAATTAATATCATTATAATAATTTTACCAATGAGACAAATTTACACCCAAGTCTAAACCTTCCTAACAGTAATTTCACTTGACTCCATCAAACACTTGACGTCCAGTTCAACAAAAAGTAAAGTGTTTGTTGAGGGATTGTAAACCTCCTTAAATATCTTCTGGAGATAAAACAATGATTCTATTTTGGATTAATTTTGATCTAGCGATATGATTGAGGGTAAAACTAAGAACTTTGCTAGTAACTTTGCCTATGACAACATTTAAATATAGACAGTCTTTTCTAAGAATACCCAAGTGTGTGGTGAGTTCTGATGATACATTTACTTTTGTGACAGTCTGTAGCTGTTTCCCTGCTGCTGTAAGAAAACTCTTGGAATTTTGTGTGTGCATGTTTTCTTAGATGTTTTGTTGAATTGGTTAGACTGTATCTTTCCTCTTGAGCAGAATTTGCAATCAGCTTGACGTCTTTGTAGCTTCTTCTTCTGGTGGTGGTGTTTATTGGTGGTTAACAAAAACTCTTATTGCCACCAACTGGTAAAGAGTGTTGATCAGGCCATCTATCTCCATTCATACAGTATCTGTTCTAATACTCTAAAACTGATACCTGGTACTGATATCTGTATCATACATTTCTAACATTGGGGCGGCTGTGGCAGAGTAGTTAGGGGAGTCGTCCTGGAACCGGAAGGTCACCGGTTTGATCCCCCCGTCCAGCTGCCTCAGTTGTTGTGTCCTTGGGCAAGGTACTTCACCCCAATGCCTCTGATGTGTGTCCCATTAGCGTATTAATGTGATTGGCACTTATAAGTCTCCATAGATGATTGTATATGTTAGCTTTGTAGGAGATCTGGTAGAGTGCTGTGTGAATGGGTAAATGAGGACACAGATT